AGCCATGTCCCCACCCCACCCCAATTCTTCTTTTTTGACAAACTGGCTGAACATTTTCTAGGTCACTGCATAGTAAACATTTCTGTATGATCAGGTGTTTGTGATAGTTTACCTCCCCTAAGTCTCAGCAGTATCTAGCCCACAGAAGACAGAGTGTGAAGCTGCCCCCTTAACAAGGTGCTCCCTGATATTTTCTAGTAGGACATCACAAACAGTGCCCAAGTGGAGGAAAAGATTTATACCCCATGCTCAACTTTGCGGGCAACCTGGATAAGATGCATTTATTTCTGAGGAAAGAATTGACCTCGTGACACTAGACACCTTATTCCCTTTCTACAAATAATCTACCTGGGCCCTGCCTGGCAAACCCAGCTCATTGGTTTGGTACCAGGGTATTTTGCATACGCAGAAGTCACAGACCTGTAATCTGCAGTATAGGTTAAGCCCACAGACATGTTTTTCTTGGCCCACAATACACTTTAAAAATCAAGACGCTTTCGGGCCCTACCTCTCCGGGCTGACTAAGACACCAAACACTGAGCCCAGGGGCTGCCTGGAGTGGGAAGCCAGGTCTACACAGATCCTCTGTCTGGCTCCCGATGGAAAGCTCTCGGCCGCGACACTGAAGGGTGTCTCTAATGCAAATGCCTGCAGTTCTGGAGACCTCAACAAGCTGGCTCTTTCCTGGCGCGTCACACACTCCAGAATCGTGACTGCTTTCGGCGAAATTCGGAAAAGGGCCGGGCTCAGGCTTGCCAGCTTCGGGGCACGGTGACGCGATGTCACCGCAAAGGCTGCGGGCCGCAAGAGAAGGGATCCGATGCCCGCCCGCCCGCCGACCTCTCCGCGGACCCTCTCCTCGCCCGGCCCGAAGGCGATCGGCTCCTGTGCCAGGCAGACGAAATCAGTGCGCCCAACCGACGCCCGGCAGTGCCCCAGCGCACCTACCCAGGCCGCGGCGCGAGCAGGCGGCTCCCAGCGCGGCGAGGCTCCGTAGGGAGAGTGACCCACGGCCGAACACCATGACCCGCGGGGCGGCACTGTCCAGCGCCTGGCCGCGACGCGGGCGTCCCCGGCCACAGCCAATCAGCGCCCGCCTAGCACCGCCCCGAATCGTCCATTGCCCTCCCAGCACCGCCCCCAGTCGGCCAGTGCCCACCCATCACTACCTCCAGCCAATCAGCAATCCAGCGCCAGTCTCGCCCCGCCCAGCGTCACCCCCAGCCAATCACCGCGTTGTAGTCCAACGAATTTCTTCCCAAATCTGAGGCCAGGGGGCCAGGGCCCAAGCTTGTGACCGTGAGCGAAGGTTGGGGAAGAGGTACTTCCGAAACTCAGGAGCTCTCCAGGCTTTTACTGGCATTCCGAGGCAGCCAGCGGGTAGCGGCACTCAGGAGCCCCGCAAGGTAGGGTGCGCAATCGATGACGAGACAGCGCTAGCAGGGAGCACGTCCCCTTCAGCTTGCCGTAGGCGCCAGAGCACACGACCACGTGACTCAGAGCTGGGCTATGGCGGGCCCTAGGCCGTGGTCCCTCTTCTGGGAGTGGGGTAAGAACATTATCTGCGTGGGAAGGAACTATGCAGACCACGTCCGAGAGATGGGCAGCACGGTACTCCGCGAACCCGTTATCTTCCTGAAGGCTTCCACCGCGTACGCGCCCGAAGGCTCGCCGGTGCTGGTGCCCTCCTACTGCCGCGATCTGCACCACGAGCTGGAACTAGGCGTGCTTATAGGCAGGCGCGCCCGTGCTGTCCCCGAGGCCGCCGCCATGGATTACGTGGCCGGGTATGCCCTGTGTCTGGATATGACCGCCAGGGACGTGCAGAATGAGTGCAAGAAGAAAGGGTTGCCCTGGACCCTGGCCAAAAGCTTTACCTCCTCCTGCCCGGTCAGCGCCTTCGTTCCCAAAGAGAAAATCTCTGACCCTCACGCCTTGAAACTGTGGCTCAAGGTCAATGGCGAACTCAGGCAGGAGGGCCAGACATCTTCCATGATCTTTTCCATCCCATACATCATCAGCTATATTTCTAAAATAATACCCTTGGAAGAAGGAGACCTTATCTTGACCGGGACTCCAGAGGGAGTTGGGTCAGTTAAAGAAAATGATGAGATGGAGGCTGGCATAGACGGGGTGGTCAGTATGAGGTTTAAAGTGGCAAAGTCAGAATATTGAGTCTATACAAAGTGGCCTAACTTCTTAAGTGTCAAGACAAAAGGGAGCAAGACTTAGAAGCATGCAGAAGTTATTAAATATGACAATCTTTTCATAGAAGCCACTTGTACAAAATGATTTGATTTGACTTGTTAGCTTTTAATCACAAAAAAAATAGTCCCTTCTGGAAAAACTTGATCTGGAAGAGCTGGGACAGAAATGAGAACAACTAAACAAGATTTGGGATGCATTCTAGGAAGAGAATATATGGAACCAAACCAAATCTTAATTTTTCCCTAAAACTGAACTGAGTAAGACTTTTCAACACGTCATTCTAGGATCAGTTGTTAGAGAGAAATCTGCAAAGGAAACTAAATGTTATGTTCCATTCAAACTTCTTTGCTTTTGATAGTCATCCAGAAGTACTTGTAAAAATAAAAACTTTCAAATCATTGACCCATCCTGGGCCCACTGAATTAATGAAATTTCCAGGGAAATTGTTGACAGGACACAAGTGATTCTTCACCAGAGAAATATGGAAAAAACACTACTCCACATAATCAATTTTATTTGTTAGATGAACAATTGTTGAAGATCTCTCCTGGGTTACTTAGAGTAACTCCCTGGTTTGTATGTTGATTTGGGAAGTGATTTTTGAATATATTATTTTCCAAATAAATAGCTTCCTTTTGTGTGTCTTAAACATGTACAGTACTTTCTTTTCCCAGAAGATGTCAAGAGGGATATTTCTTCCTTGTGAGGCAATAAACCTTTGGCCTCCTGAGCCTTTTTTTCTTTTTCTTTTCCTTTTTTCTTGTTTTGTATTTTAGGAAGCCGCAACAGGGTGTTCAGGATCTCAGTATTAGATGGACTCCTAGTGATCTGCCTGTTTACAGCCTCCCAAGAGCTGGGATTACAGGCGTGTACCACCACGCCGTCTCAGTTTCTGTCTCAGCACACTGCAGGGTCAGGGCCAGCACAGCAGCCCCAGGAATCAAACCCCTGGCCCCTGATCATGCTTACAAGTGCTTTAATCCACTGAACTATTTGGCTGCCCTCTCCTGAAATTTATGCTCTAAGTTTACTACTACCACCTTCACCTCTACCTCCCAATTGAAGGAGGCTCCAGAAAGTTGAATGGTCTGGGAGTTCAGCTTTTGCTTTTGTTTGCATCCTCCTTTTGAAAACGAGGTAAATATGCCCAGCGTAGCTAACATAGGACCCAATGAAATCCTCTAGGCTTAGGCATGATCTACCTGTGGTTAGTGTATACAGAAAACATCTGATCCTTTGCATCTGCCTTACTAATAACCTATCAAGCACTTAGTACTACTTGGCATTGTGCCTAGCATAGTTTATTGTGTTTTCATATATTGTGGGACCCTCAACAAAGCTGAAATGTTGATACCTTTCAGTCACTAAGAGTGAAGATGTTGCATAGCTGTCCCAAGCCTAGAAGCTGAAGAAATCTTAGTCACAGTACAGGTTGCATCTTACATAGATACATAAGGTGATATAAATGTTTGAATGTTATGTAGTTCCAAGTAAAAGTTCTAATGTATTATAAGTGATAGATTTTTCAGCAGCACAGTAAAGAGATAGAAAAGATAAGAGCCTTGATTAACTCCAAAGACACCAAAGATCCAGGGCAGGTGGGGCAGATAGATCCTCTGGCCTAAGGCAAAGCAAGCCGAGGCTTTTATTGACTTTTGTTAAGGTTGGAATTTGAGGGGATGTTTAGAAATATCTGAGGAGCAGATTGGGGTCTTTCCTATGGTAGTCGGAAAGGTTGAAGGAAGTTGCACCCTGGGCTGGGTTGGAGAAGAAGCGGGAGGTAGTCTCTAGGAAGATAAGCTGTTGTTTTAAGGGTTTCAGCCATATTAGATGACCATAATAATTCAGCAATTCATACTTGAACCAGGGCCTATCAAGAAAATTCTATTAATTAGATTTGTGTGTTTTATCTTTTAATGTTTTGTTTTTAAGATAGGGTCTTTTATGTAATTTAGGCTGGCTTTGAACTCACTAGGTAGCCCAGGCTGGCCTCAGGTTTGTGACAGTCTTTCTGCCTCAGACTCCCAAATTTTGGGATTACAGGCATGCTTCACACCCAGGTTTTAAAGGATTTTTTTTTTTTTTTTTTTGGCTGAACCAGGGATTGAATTCAGGCCTTTGTGCTTGCCAAGCAAGCACTTATTCTACAAGCCATCTCCCCAGCCCCCCTTTTAAGGATTTATTACAGATGAATCGGGCAATACAGATGAGCATAAAAGACTGAACCCTAAAATTCCACTTAGTCAAATGTTTGTGTATTTGAAATATGTGGATGCAATTTTTAGATAGAATTTGCTCACACCATGCAGTTGTCTAACTTGTTTTTTGCTCTGCATATTATGACTATCCTTTTTAATATCTGTCAGCACATTTTTTTTTTTTTTTTTTTATTTGAGAGAGAGAGAGTGTGTGTGGTGTGTGTGGCCAGCTCAGCCCACCAGGGGGCGGGGCTGGCTGGCATGTGGTGCTGGGGATTGAACCGCAGTCCCCGATGCTTTGCTAAGCTTGTTCTAAGTAAGTGCTTTAGACCACTGAGCCATCTCTCCAGCCCGTGTCAGCACATTTTGGCAGTATTGTTTTCATTGATTTATGTAAGCTCCTGAGGTCAGTCCAACTTTGGACATTGGAATTGTCTCATTTCCTGGTAGAATTAGCTCATGTATTAATCCTTTTGGCTAGTTTCTTGTAAGTGGAAGTTGGATCACACTGAAAGTATACTGTTAATCAAGTTAGCCAGGGACAAAGTTCAACTGAGATCTGTCCAAACTGGTAGACTGTTTAATTAAGCAAGCTGAAGGTATAAGGTTGAAGTAGTGTTCACGTGTAGCCCCAGGAGAAGGTATACATCAGCACCCAGAGTGTACAGTGCCCCTGAGGTCAACGTTCAGCAGGTGGTAGAGCAAGCTTTGTCAGAAACATTTGATACCAGCATTGGAAGTGTAGCACACAAAGTCCTTGGGTATAAAATTAAAAACAGGCCAATTCCCACAATTCCCAAGGTTGCTAAAGTAATCCTAGCTCCCAGCAGATAGATTTTTCTCGTTTATTTTTAATAAATTTAAACCTATAGAAAATTGAGAGATTAATGAAATCCAAATACTTTTCACTAGATTCAACAATTGCCATTTGCTAATCACATTTAATAATTCCATACTATATTAGTCCCTAGTGGGGTTTTGTGTTTATATTTGTTGTGCATTTATTTTAAAATGAGCAGCCAGGCGTATTGGCACACGTCTATAATTCCAGAACCCTAGGAGGCTAAGGTAGAAAGATCACAAGATCAGGCACAGCTTGGGCAGTTTAGTGAGACCCTGTCTCAAAAGATTAAGGGGTGGGGCATGGTGGTGCATACCTGTAATCCCAGCACTTGTGAAGCTAAGGTCAGAGGACTGCTATGAGTTTGGAGCCAGCTTGGGCTCCGTAGTGAGTTCAAGGCTAGCCTGAACTACATAGCAAGACTCTTTAAAAAAAAGCTGGGGATCAGGGCAAAGGCTTTGTGTTCAATTCACAGTACCACTATCTGTCTATCTATCTAAATGATATATGATACTCAGTGTATAAATATAAACATCTCCAGGTCAGTTAATATGGGTGTACTTAGCATTTTTTAATGGCTACATCTTAGATCATGTGCTCCAGAAGCAGAGCCTTGTACAAATCAAATATAAAAGTATAATGTCACATAAAAAGTACTCACCAGTCTTAGCTATTAATATTATTGTAGCGATTTAACATCTCAAAACTTATCCTAAGGACAAAACTTAGCTGCTGTTTATAAGCAGCCAAAAAAGGAAGAATTTTAAATGCCCAATAGGTCAGGCATAGTGATACACATAATCCAAGCACTTGGAAGGCTGAGTCAGGAGGATTACCTGAAATTCAAGGCGAGCTTGAACTATATAGAGACCCTATCTCAACCAAAACAAAAAAATAAATTTTATTAAATGCCCAATTATCTTTGTTATTTTCTCTGGTTGCTGGGACAAATACCCAACACTCAAAATTAGGGGAGGAAAGGTTTATTTAGCTCACAGTTACTGGAGGTTTCAGACCATACTCGGCTGGCTCCAAGGCAGAGTGGCATACAGCAGAGAGCACCCTTTCATGGTGGTGGTGGTGGCGGCGGCAGCAAAGAGTGAAACAGCAAGAGCCAGTGGGAGGAGTAGCAGCAACAATGGCTGCAGGAGCAAGTCTGTCTCCTTTATGTTGCACTAGGGCTATCTGCCTCAGGCTGGGTGTAGCATTCACACCATAATCCCAGCAGCACTCACACCCATAATCCCAGCCTTAGATCATGAATCAATCACATTCCAGAAGTTGCCCCGTGACTGCATGAGGCTTTGGGGGGACAACTAGACACAAACCATAACACCAATGTTACTGGATTGATAGCAGTCATTGTTCTACACTCATATAATGAAATGATATGCAGCCAATACTTATATAAAATATTTAATGATGTGGAGAAATGCTCTTAAGTGTAAAAGAGCATTATAATGTATAATGTTATAATGTAACCTATTTGTAAATTATGTTTATAATTTGTGAATTATATGTTTCAAAATAGATATCTGGATAGATGGAGGCTAAAAAGTCAGGAAACACATACTTGTATGCTTGTATACATGTGTTACTCATGCTGGCCTCAAATTCCTGGGCGTAAGCAACCCTCTGCCTTAGTCTCCCTAGCAGCTGTGACTACAAGTGCATGCCACTGTGCCCCAGCTTAGAGCCCCATTACTCATATTAGCCAAAAGCTTGGGAAAAAACCCCAAATGTTACTAAGAAATGAATAAATAAAATGTGGTCCATCTATTTAAAGCACTGATGCCTATAAGATGAAGTTCAAAAACATTATGCTACTGAATTAGAAAAAAAACATGCTATTAAAAGAAACTAGTTATAAAAGGGCAAATATTGTCCTTAAATACCTGTAATAATTCAATTCATAGAGACAGAAAATTATATTAGTGGTTACCTGAGGCTGAGAGGAGGAGAAAATAGGAGATTATTGTGTAATGGGTACAGTTTCAGTATGGAATGAAATAAAAAGTTTGGAAATAATAGGGATGGTTGTAAGTAATGCTACTGTATTAGATACTTAAAAATAGAATGGTAGTTTGATTATATTATATATATGTATATATATAGATATATATACACACACACACAATAAGTGTATTACAAGTTTTAAAGTATGGGATGAGACATTATGGGTTTTCCTTTTTTGATAGGATTTTCTCATTTTTCTATAACTCATGTAAAACTTGACAATAAAAAATATTTAGAAGCAACAAAATGAGGGTTCCTCAATACATGGAAAATATAGGTATTGTAGTATTTCTACTATGTACAGAGTATTGATCCAATACATTTTTACTAAGTGGAATTTGGAAAGGAAAAATCTGTTCACACAAAAGCTAATAGAAGATTAGGAAAAAATCATTGCCGCTCAATTTTTATAAAAAGTAATAAGAAACTTGCAGTTCAAGAGAGGGTGAGGCTGGGGAGATAGCTTGGCAGTCTAAGTGGCTGCCTTGCAAGCACAAGGACCCAGGTTTGTTCCAGCACTGCATGCCGTGCTGGCCCCAGAACCCTGGGCCTGCAGTGCTGGCCACCAGAACTGGGTATGGTGGTGCCTTCCTGTAATCCCAGCGCTGGCGGGGGCTGAGACAGGAGGACCACTACAGGTGCAAGCTGTGTAGAGAGACCCTGTACCAAATAAATATTTTTTAAATGAGAAAGAGAGGGTGAGATGAGGAAAGAAGAGAAGGAAAACGGTGATTAGACAAGGGTGTGTACTCTGTGTTGATGTGGCGATGCTAATTATTTCTTGAGTCCTTCCAATCTGGCTAACCTACAACTGAAGTTTAGATGACTGCTTTGTAATCTTCATTTAATAAAATGTATAAGTTAGGCTTTTTGAAGTACCTTTGATTGAGTGTGGTTTGACACCACCCCCGAAGACTAGTATATTGTCACATGAAATAATCAGGCTGTCCCTTGAGCGACAAGCGCGAGGGACTTTCTTTTTTTTTTTTTTTTTTTTTTTTTTTTTTTAATTTGCGGTACCAGGGATTGAACTCAGGACCTTGCACTTGCCAGGCAAGCACTTTTTCTACTGAGCTATCTCCCCAGCTCACAAGGGACTTTCATAGTTCATTGCCGAAGGATTGGGATGAGACCACTAAGGCAGTGAGATGGTAATTTAGAGCCCTATGCTGATCCCACTGAGTCTCAGCCTGCGCACCTGCCATGAAAGCATCTCTGATCTGCAGGGGAGCCAGCAGTGAAACAGCCAGAGCAGCTGAGGCCTGTGAGCTCAGGAGCCCACACTGGTCCATTCAGGCCTGCTGCGGGATTTCAGGGCACCAGGGCCTGGTACAGCAGCTCCAGGCACCACCTGGACAGTATTCTCCATCTCCTGAGCTCTGTAAATGAGTTCCTGTCCAGGGTGGTGGTGCTGTCTCTGCTCTTGCTCAACCAACAGTGTGTGTAAATCCCACCCTGCACTTTCACTTCTCTCCTGTCTGACCCCTCCACCACCACTCTTTGTCCTTCTTTACCCGTTCCTTCTGCCATGTCTCCTTCCCAAAGGAAAACAGGAGGAAGCTCTTTATCAGGCCTACTTTGCACAACTAGGTCACGTCCTAGCTTCCTCACTTATTGTCTTAACTTGAACACTGCTGGAGTCAACCCGCATACTTCCCATGACTGTACAGTAAAAGCCCGAAAAAAAAAAATACAAACAAATTTATTTCTTAACACCAGCCTTGACTTTTATATACTCACCTTTTCTCCTTTTTGCAGTCCTGTACTGGATGATGTGTGCTGAAATGGTAGCCTAACCCAAGTGAGTGTGTTGTGGCATCTGAATTAGATAGAAATAGTATAGGCAGTAAGACAGGGCTAGGCCTTCAAGGAGACAGCACGGAAGACAAGAGACCTTGTAACTGTGAGAGAGACAGATGCCCCCACCAGACCTAAAGACTAAAGATCGAACAAGGGGGCCAGGGAGATGACTCAGTAGAATAAGCACTTGCCTG